CGACATCCGCGACCAACGCACAACTGGCAGACTGTTACGGCCCACAGCACCCGCGGAGATGGGTGCGGTGAAATGCGCGAGCGCCTGCAGGCGGGAGTGGTGTAACGAAGCGGTGAGGGTGGCTCTACCCCATGTCGTTGATTCCAGCTGGTCGTTCGGCGGGTATATCTGTTCCCTCGTTTTAAAATCCGTATAAATCTCATGATTCGCGCGTGTGGAAATGCTACGTTCGGACGGGAGGTCGGGGGAGGTGAGCGACTGCGTCACGCAACAGGCAGTAGGCCCTAGGTCTAGGTTTCGGGATAGAACAGGAATGAAAGCGCAGAGCAGACGCGCGACTGGATGCTCCCACAAAAGGGCCTTAGTGCGTTAAGCGTGTTGGTGGCAGATGCCGTGCAGCTGCAGGCGGTAGGGCGAGTTGTTTTGCAGGCTGTGCGTTTGACATACTCAAATGAAATGAGCTGCAAGGCTAGTGGGACAGGCTGAGCATTTATTTCCCGGCGTGCGGCTAGAGTATTGAAGTGAGTTGGTCAAGCCTTCAATTACAGAGGTGAGGTTCCCCGACCTGCATATTGCTGCGTTTGCCGTCTGTTCAGAAAGTGTGTAGTTCGGCACCTTCGGTGGTCGAGATTGAGCGGCGCTGCGTCGTGCCAGGTGAGTGCGTTTCCTGCATTGAGCGGTGCGGGTCGGGTCTGGCCGCACTATGGCAGGTTTGTGCGACACCTGAAGGCCTCGTGCGCGATTAGAAGGCCACTGCAATACGTTTTGGTGTTTGCAGTGTTGGAGGGAGAGGTTTCGCCGAGTGGAGGAGCTGATGCTTGTTTGGCTGTAGGGTTCGTGTTTGCGGGCGAAGAGTTACAGATGGTTTAGGCGCGACGCAGTAGCCTATCCACGCAAGCATGCCACAAAGGTTGGCTAGCACGTCAGCTGTGTATACAATATATATGCTTTGCACCGTTGGTGCAGTCGGACGGTTCGTTGGCGCAGTCGGAAGGTTCGGCGGCTACTGGGACTCTAGCAAGACTGTTCAACGGGTCTGTCGCTAGCATTGGCTCGTAGCGATGCTGCAAGGACGTGGTTCGGCGCGGCTCGAAGGTGCTGTGTAT